AGTAAAATCATGCTTCGATATAAAATTGGATATGGTCGTCTTTTTAAAATCATTTGTCCATCTCGTATCAAACAAAATTTGATCTTTTTTCAGTTATGGCCTCCACAGGTGGCATATTAGAAGCAGAAATATGACATTTGACTTCAATTAGAGAGTCATCTCCGATAAGTCTATCGGGACTTACCCCTATATAATAATCATCTTAATCAATAAACAGTCCACACACCGAAACTTTTAGATTGGTAGTTGTAGAAAATTCTCGTATGGCCTCCGATTTCTGTTGGTTTCCATATTCGATTGCCGTATTTCCTCTGAAATGAGTATACAGTAACTCTTTTAGTGTAGACAAACACGAGTTATTTGGGCGCAGTTTGCGACTTTTCCAAATTTATATGTAGTTAGCCTTTTTCTCCATTCTGTGTGCCACAAATCATTGTCTCTTTGACCTCTTGTAGCCAATTCTAATTCTTTTATTTCGTGCTCGTTTTTTTGCAAAGAAGCCAAAAACTCTTCTTTCTTTTCTTAAAAACGTGATTGGCACTCATTTTTATGTCATTTTTGATGTTTTTAATTTTTTCCACGTCAGTGATGTCTTCGTTCTTCCAATGTTTCACGGCGCCAACTAGTGCTTTTTTTATAGAATGGGATGACAAACGAGCACACAGTCCACCTGATGGTAAGTGGTTGCTGTGGCCCATAGACATCTACATCTATCCTCGATTACGAATCAAAATGCAGATGCGTTGACAACGCAGTCCGTGAGGACTTAGGTGGAATGCCTCGTTTCCAGTAAAAAGAGTCTCCGGTTCTCTACACTCACCATACGAAACACAGCAACATTAAGCTACTATTTGACGCTGGTGTTCTGTGAAAACGTGGTCCTTCCCCGGCGAGCCAACCCATTCGTGCAACAACTATACTACTAATATAACTTCAGCATGGCTTTACTACGTAAAAGCGACGCAAAACATTGCTCACAACTCTTTTTACTGTAGGTACTGGTAAGTAACCTTATTGGTTGTTAGTTTTCATCCCCAACTGCTTCAATTTGGAAGAAAAATTTCTGAAACGGTGATTTTTGCACTCTACTTTTTTAACCATGAGGTTAGAACCGTATGGCATAGTAATCAATAGTCCATTTATGGTACCAGAGTCGCCATCGCCAATCAGCATGTGATATTTAACGCCATGTTTTTCAACGCTTCTTTGGAAACCCTCCACTATTATGCCTTCTTCCATCGATGTAGCGCTGTTAGACCTCTAATATTCATTCGACGAATATTAGGAGTACATCGTCCCTGCATATTACTGTTCGGTAATTCCTTGTCAAGCTCAGAGTCACTGAAAAATAAATAGAATGATAATAGTTAAAAATATATTTTATGGCTAACTAAAGCAGGCAAAAGTCGCGAGCAAAAGCTAGTTTACCTTTAATTCGGTTCATTGTTAAAAATTAGATTAGTAAATTAGTAATTAGAATTAGTAATACACACAACATTTTCTAACGGACTAATATTATTACTAGACAAGTAGTAATATTGAAAATTTTGTACAACCGACTTCAATAAAACTCAATTACAACATATGTCATGGTTGAAATAATTTCTATGAGATATATATGGGGCCAAATATAAGACATACATTATCGAAGAAAAAATGAATAGGTATTCAAAATCGGTCCACGATGGAGGAATCAGTGAACATACATAAAAAATAAAATAAAGGAAAAAACATACAGTCGAACATAGAACCTCGTCCTTTTATGAAGTCTTAAAAATCAACATCGGCTACTCCATAATTTTATATTTTGGCGAAATAAATTTCAGTCTATCACCTACCAATCAAAGTATGATCACAGAATAAATTATATTACGTATGATACCTATGTGCAATAGTATGTTATGTGGTATACCTGTTGATTTTAGAAGTTGGCGTTACCCATCCTTTCGATTTACGAAGAAAATTGATTTTTTTTTCGTTTTGTTGATAAACACGGTCGACTTTTCCTCTTCTATAATCTTTATCTTCCATTCTAAAAGGTATAAATTAATTTTATTTGAATGAATATAATACTCATCGTAAAAGCTGGCATTTGCCTTTGGCAGATATAGATAGGTAGATACTTACATATAAAAATAACAGCTCACTTCTATATGGTATATGTAGTTAGTAACTACTAAAGGTCTACACACACTATGCAATAAGTATAATAAAATTGCAAAGAAACACAAACAAATTGAATAATTATGTCACTTGTCGTCAAAGACATTTAAGCATGTAGTATCTGGATGACCGAGTATTTTCTCGGTATATTTTTTTTTTTTGGAAATCGTGCTTTTTGGAAATTATATTTAGATAAAAATTACATAGGTACTGATGTAATATGAATAATATTTTTCGATCTTACCAACATAATAAAAAAAATTGAACCGGTTATTTAAATAAAAATCATGTGTACAATTAGTTTTAATTTAATTTTTCGTGTTTTTAAAAAAATACTAAAAAAGGGCTCGAAATATTAGATTTTCTCACAAAAGAAGGGAACTTGAAAAAAAGTCGGGCCGAAGTCATTTGGATTCGAACTACGAATTCGAGTACCGCCGATTTTACATTTGAGCTATAGTAATCTTCGAATCACCAGCAAAATTTATATATATGCAAACCGCAGATAGCCGACGTTCGGGCGATTCACAGAATACGCCCGAGCGTCGCTTATTGCTGCTATTGTAGTGTGCCTGAGAATTTGTTTATAATACGTTATATTATAGTTCATAAAAGATAGCTTGATCTCTGCGACAGCTTTCAGTAAAAATCACGTCTATGAAGTCCTGAATTTCTTAGTAGTACAGACAGTACCTGTCAATGTCATACTTTATGGGCATGCACTAATTAGGTCGGCATGCCCATAAAGTATGATATTGAAAGGTACTGTATGTACTACTGAGAAATTCAGGACTTCATAGGCGTGATTTTTAATGACAGCTGTCGCAGAGATCAAGCTATCTTATATGAACTATAGCACAGAATAAATAATAGTACTACGTACAAAAGTTGCACTCCTTTGATGTCGACTGCTTACCGGCGTTTAATAGCCTACATAATTATTATTAATCAGATAAATCGCACACGCAAGCTAAATAAAACTTTATCGCTGCGCGCTAGTGTCCATATTACTTTGCATCTATTTTGTCACGGCGGACTTTCCGTGGTTATTAAGGGATGTCAATAGAAAGTAAAAAAATACATTGCGAAATGTTAATTATGTTACTTAGGTGAAGTACTAACTAATATTCTGACTATGATTGACTAACCATACTTTCGCCCATATGTGAGTTCTGCGATACTTAACGCATGCAAATTGCAACGTCATTCGTCGGGAATCGTAACACTTGGGAGAAATAGGTAGATAGTGTAAACAACAAATAAACCCGAAATACGATTTCTAACAGAAATGTGATCTATTCTATTTAGTTAAAAATCTTGTTAGTATACAAAGTTTTAATTTCAGTATTTTGTGTTATTATAACTCAAAATATTTTAATTACAAAATACAAGTATAGGTATGTAAGTAAATACTTGGATAGTGAAGTAAATTTTAACTAATTTTTGTAATGAAGTACTTAGGTTATTTCTTCCGTAGACCAAATTATTACTTAATTCTTTTTTGCTGTGAGTACCTATCTAACAAAAAAATTAAATAAATTCACCTTTCATAACTTCCTTCTAAAATTCTTCGGTAACTTAAAGAATGATATGAAACCTTTTGTTGGTCATTTCATTTAGTATCCATCTAAGCAACAGTTATAGTAGGAACGACGTTTTGCTATTATAATTTATCAAATAGGCAATATACATATTGTATAATTTTTAAAATACATTAAAACTTTTACAACTATTTTTACCCACAATTAAATATACTAAACGCTAAACAAAAACTATTTCAACAAGTATTTACATAAAACTATTTACGTAAACAGCGTTAAAAAACTCTAACATTCAATTGCCTCCAACGCGCTAGCCCTGACTGCGTTATTTCGCCCGGGCGCGTCGCGATTTTAGGTAATTATTTCACACAGGTAGCAAGAGTGGTAGAGGCCTGACGTATTTGTCACGCCCGGAGGGAGGCAAAGCGAGCGATATGAAACAGGTAGCATTTTTGAAAATACCTACTAGCGTCGCGTATCGGCACTTCACAATCCTCTTAAGTTCGCTTTTCTTTTTTAATTGAAATAATTATAAAAATTTGGGCGTATTTCTTACGCGACATATTGTAGCGAGAGCGCGTAAATTGTATAGGATCAAACGCTCAAGGTCTTTCGCTAGGAGTAGCGCCTTAAGCGTAGTTACTAGTTAGCTAGCTACGTAGACAGAGAAACCTACAGACAAATTAACACCTGTTTTCGCATTCGCACATGATAAAGATAGATTTATGCATACGTCTTGCATAGAAATGAGGCAGAGCGGTGTGATTGATGGTCCCTTTCTCCGTGCCGGTTTTTTTGCTTAGCAAACTACACTTTGCTAAACAACTTTGACAATTCGTAGCGATCTAAGGAGTTTACAAGTTGATGTAAGTGAGAAAAAAATGTTTTGTGAGCTTAAGATTGGTGAATCTTGTTCAGTTCAGATCTTAGAACAATTAAAATTTTTATCTAAATATGTTTAAAAGTCATAAAGATTATTGTGGAACCTAAAACTACGGTATCGTCCTTTCTCACTCGAGGCCACGCTAATCATTAGTCTATTGGTTTCTCTGTTTACGGCTAGCTACATATTATTTATTTATTTACGATGACTATATTCTCCGTGGCTGTATGGATTTAGATTCCTTTGCCTCTAAAAATCCACAACGAAGTTTTCAGCAACTAAACAAAAGTCACGGCTCACGGTAAATTTAAAACAAAAATTGCAAGAAATACAGATTAGTACAAATAGAAAAATGTGAAATTTTTGTGAGAGTTGTATTTTTCCTCTGCGGTGCAGGTCATCGGCGGAGAAAATTGAGCACTGTGTCGTAAGTAACCTAATAATAAAATAATTAGCAAATAACATGAAAGCAATTTCATAAATTTCTATTATACCGCATAAAGATATCGATTTGTGTATGTTCTGCCGTATGCGGTGTTATGTTTTTACTTTTGCTGTGTTTATCGCTTATGGGGTGGATGCTCAACGTTTTTTAGTAGATATTATTCAAAATTAAAGGAAAGAAAACCACTTATTATTTAATAATAACCCTAGATTCATAAACACACCACGATATCAAACTATTACTACTCGTAAACATTCGCCCCTCAGATGACAATATTAAATTGATGATTTTAGATTTTTAGATGGTATTTTCGTATGGCTACACAACTGATGAACATAGGCCTCCCTATATTTTGCCATAGGGGGATATTTGCCATAGTTGCCACACTTGGCAAGCGAGTTGGCAACAGCAGTATATTATTATTTTGTATTGTTATCAGGAAGATGTTGTACATTTTGTCTCATTTCTCTCTGTCTCCTCTTATGATATATACAGTGCTGTTCTCTCATATCCCATATGAGGTAATGGATTCTCTTACACAACCATTATATAGTTTTTAATTATTATCATTATAAAAATAAAAAGTCATTCAGAGCAATCAACACATAATAAACCTCGGACATTCATAGGTACCCATAAATATTTTACATAAAGTTCTATTACATGTATTATATCAATCGATTTTTTCTATATATGATGATTGCAGAAAATATGCATTTTTTTTCTATGATCACTAAATTGTTTCACAATTTTGCTTTTAAGGCAACATCAAAGTTGGCATTTTAGGGCTCTTATGTATGCTTCAGACAGTTTCTTTGATACTTCTTTTGTGGGTACTCTTCATTCCCATTTTTGTGATTCTTAATATCACTGAGATTGAGCCTAGGGCACCCTGTTGTTACTATCTGAAGAAATGTTAATTAATAATGTTGCTACTTTCTGCTTAGTCAATGATGTCCAGCCCATCCTATGAAAATATCATATTTGCAAACTTATGTATCAAAATAGGTACCTTCTATTCATGTAATAAAAAAGTAATAATCGCATAATATTTACTTTGATTATCACTTAGATTCTGGACTAAATCATGATTTTAAATAATCATAGTTACCTTTCTTCAGTCACAACACTATTCATAAACTTTTGTGTGTGGTGAACCTAATCACTCCTTATGTGCACCCTTGCATGCAACCATTTAATAACAGGTCTAACTAACAATGTACTTAGGAGTTGAGCTTTCTATCTTTTTCACTCTGTGAATATTGTAGTTAAATAAAGTTCTATATCAACACTGACCCTTAAACAGTCATAGTTAAAACATTGTGTCTTCAATGTATTACTGACAGGATCTATATTTTATTGTACAGAATAAACAAGATTGTTTATAGTAAAAGCAAAAAACAAAAGGATATTAATGCTTTGCATGATCTATGAGACAAATGTTTATGAATCAAGGGTTAAAAGTATTTTATCTATATATATGTGTTGTATGTATTATGTTTTAACATACATTTTTTATATTAATATGTAATATTTCATATATTGTAAATAATAACTAACAATTACATTTAATTGTTATTTGTTTTGTAAGAACCATGGAGCACAACGACTATAGTGATCCCGAATATAAGGTAGTTCCTAAAGATATTCCAAAAGTACACACAAAATGCAACCACATCCGTCCACACACAAGGTTAATTGTTATATTTTATATTGTATTTATTTTTATATACTCTCAGTTTCAAAATCCGAATTAAAATAATTTGATAACTAGTTAATAAAAAAAATTATATTCAATTTAAAAAAAAATTATAAAAAAATTTGAATATAAAACTTATTTTGCATTGTTAATTTTGACTGGATTCTGAAATTGACTATAGTTTCAATTTATATTTACATTAGATTTCTTTACATTTGTCATATCATTACACATTTATAGCACTGTGCTTAGCTTATATTAACTGGCCAATATTTCTATAATATATATAATAATTTATTGTTTATTAAAGTACTAGAATGTATGTGTTTATACAAATATAATATATTACAGTATAACTTTCAGTTCTATGACTTGAACCTCTATGGGAGCAGTCTACACTGACCTCTGTTTGTTCGTTTTACCATTGGTTAGGGAACCATTAGTAGTTATGGATACAATAGTGCCAGTATGCTTCAATGTATATCATCATCATCATTACAGTCCTTCATAAGTTCACTGCTGAACATAGGCCTCCCCCAAGTAATGCCACAACGCACAGTCCTGAGCCACCTGCATCCATCGACTTCCTGCATGTCTTACCAGGCCGTCACTCCATCTAGTGGGGGGTCGCCCTACACTACGCCTACTGGTACGAGGCTGCCACTCGAGAACCTTTCTTCCCCATCGGTTATCGGTTCTTCGAGCTATATGGCCGGCCCATTGCCACTTCAGCTTACTAATCTGTTGGGCTATGTCGGTCACTCTGGTTTTACTGCGGATATCCCCATTTCTGAGTCTATCACGCAGAGAAACTCCGAGCATAGCCCTCTCCGTAGCTTGCTGAGCAACCTTAAGCGTCCTCATATGGCCAGCAGTGAAAGACCACATCTCAGATCCGTAAGTCATCACTGGCAACACTCACTGGTTGTACAATCTAGTTTTCATAGTTTTTCTATGTATATAGGCTATTTTAAAATAATTTTTACACTTTGCACTTTCACTCAGCTTTCCTTTACCACATGATACAACTTTTTACTGCCTTTTTGATTTATTAGTTGTAAGGGCAACTGCTGATATTGTTGTCGCAGGTTCGAATTCTTGGTTTGCCAAAATCAGATATTGGGTTTTCTGCCATGCCATGTTGTTGCTGCAGTATAGCCATGCTCTGCTTGGGGAGGACCACATGTAAACGGGTACTTACATTATATTTGTATAGTAAGTGACAGTGAAGTCAGAGAAACCTTTTTATGGGTTTTAAATTTTTTATATTATGGCTTTTGATATTATTAGTTAGACCACAATAAATCTTTGGTCTACCACGTTTTGTCAAGACAAGCCTCAGGAAGCGAAAGAAGTTAGCGGTTTTTAGGGGAAAATGTAACTAAACAAATCTAGGCTGTGGACACAATACCGAATCATTGAAGTAATATGTACTATGTACTAGAACACACTGCGAACAAAATCTGTGCGGCAGTGAGGGCGCGTGGTCAGAGCCATACAGTACCTTTTTATTTCACAGAATATGTAAGTTTGAGCCCACGGGCTCTAACGCGTATTGCAAGTTTCGGCGTCTTTTTAACACGTAGTACACATGCATTACTTCAATGAACAGAACAAACATCTAGTTATGGGAGGAGATAACTTTAATTTTCACTTATTCCATCGTAGTTCTCCGGAGTGACAATTCTATAATTAATTAATGTAATTTTGATTCTTAAATGAGGGTGGATGTAGGTGTCTATGGGCCACTGCACACATTAATTTAGAAATTGATTGAAATGAAATTAATTGTGCGCCTATTTTCACCCTTTTTTTAAATGAGGGAAAATGTAAAGTGCATTACATATGTGGCGGCGCTGTCGTCGCGCCACAAGCGAAACGCATCGAGGCCTAAATCACTCTATCAAAGTTTCGAATCAAAAACAGTATATATAGAATAGCTCCGAATTATTACTTGGAACGTTGGCTGCTCCCTGGGCAGAACACCTTGCCCGGCGGAAGATCACTCCTTTTCCTTCCACGGCCACAGTGGTGACCACCCGACGTGATCTGAACACGCAACCATTACCTTCGGAAATTACAATTTCAAGCCTGAGTCATTATCCTCAAGAACCCCTACCATTTACTACTGAGAATCGTCTTCTGCAGTCTTCAGTTCCTGCAAACCCAATAACTAAATAAGAACATTATTTCGTAAAAAAAATGCAATTTATTACGAAATAATGTTCTTATTTAGCACGCGGTCTATCCAATGAACGACATCTAATGTTAAGTGCTACGAGATTTATAGCGTGCTGCAAAACTTAACGCGCTTGCCGGCCTCCTACACGCTTTCTTATAAATACCGCGCTATAACATAGCGTATTTGATAGCGCGCTGGAAATTTACAGTTTATAGTCTGTAGCGTGCTATTGATTTATAGCCGTTTTGAACAACTTTAAGGGAAACACATCTAAGCCTAAATCACGCTATCAAAGTTTCGAATCAAAAACAGTATATAGAATAGCTCCGAACTATCACATGGAACGTTGGCCGCTCCCCGGGCAGAACACCTTGCACACCGGAAGATCTCCCCTTTTGTTTCCACGGCCACACATATATGCATTATGATTTTAAATTACAAAAGTGTTGCGATTTAAGCAAATCCTCATTACAGTAGATGTGAGGTGAATGGTCAGCAGTGGACTTTTATGAGCTGAATAAGACAAAACTTACTGTCTCTTGCTCAGTCCTCAGACCTGGAAACAAAATAAAAAAACCGTAATGATCGCAGGTCAAGAAGACCATGATCTATATGATTTTCTTAAGTATAAGGAGCTCACAGTCCACTTGATGATAAATGGAAGGATATGGATCAAAAACACCTGCATCGATTCTCGATTACGAAGCAAAATAAAGATGAGTTATCACCCCTGAGGACTATAATAGAATGCCTCATTCTAAAAGTAGTTACCAGAAAAGGGTCAACGTTTCTCCACCCTCACCATTCGAAACAGCACCATTCAGTTTTTAATTTACGCTGGTAGTCTGCAATATCACGCTATATACCTACACTATAACTACAGAATTGACAAAGGAGCAAATCCTCTCCCTGATGGTAAACGGCTGCAATAGCTCATAGACACCTGCAATCAATTCCATGCACATCTACATATACTCGAGTATGAATCAAAATGCAGATGTGCTATCACCCCTGAGGACGAAGATGAAATGTCTCGTTTCTAGTAGAAAGTTTCCCCTGATGTCTACACTCACTATACGAAACACAGCAGCGTTAAGCTGC